GAGAGAGAGAGAGAGAGAGAGAGAGAGAGAGAGAGAGAGAGAGAGAGATGGGCAAGTCGGGACATGGCGGACCAGTAAACTAAGCGAAACCCCATCACACAATGGTGCTGCTCTGTTGACTGGCCCATGCATGTTGCAGATTTCCTATGAGTTTGTAACTACAGAGAAAAGCCAGATAGGTTTGATTCCTTTCTTTTTTCCTTCCTACTTTCCTCCCACAAATCTTCACTGAGTTTCTGCTACACAGTAGGTACTATTAGGCACTATTAAAGCAAAGGTGATAAAGACATAGTCTCTCTATTCAGGAGGCCCACATATTTGTAGGAAAGATGGGTATATAAACAAGCAATGAGTCCAAAATATCCCAGCTACAAAAGCAGGAATGAACTACCATAGAGTCATGATGAATTTTACTTAGAGGTGGCTAGAGCACAGGATAACGCTAAAGAAGTCTTCTCAGTGGCAGTGAAAACTGCACGGGCTTTAAGATTATGCAAGCTTGGTGCACGATCAACTAAGGACAAGAATGCCAGCCACAGACAAGAGCCTAGCGATCCTACACTGCCATCCTGGGCCCTTCAACCCTACCACATTTGCTCACCTTATCATGAGGGCTACTCTGCTTAGGCCTGTGCTGGGAGAGAGAAAAATGCCCTTGGAGTATTGAAATCCACAGAATAGAAATGGCATTGGAGAGAAAGTAAGCAAGCAAGGGGAAAAAAAAGCAGGGGGATCAGAGTAGCTGAGAGAGAGTATTCAAAGGACCTTAAGACGCTCCAAGCCCTTTGTTTTCCAGACAAGAAAGGGGATTGACTAAGAGCAGGCACTAGACCCAATTCAAGGCACCCTCCCTGCATCCCTGCTGCCTTCCCTACCACACTCTTCTCCTGGGGCTCTGCAAAACCAAACTGCATCTCAGTTGGAGAAAAGTGCATAGGCTGAACCACCAAGGAGTTCAAGGTCAGACTTCACCCCTTCCTTGCTGAGTGACTTTAAGCAAACTACCTGACTTCTCTGAATCCCAGTTTCCTCACTGGCAAGACGAAAGTGGATCTATTACCCACTTTGCAAGATGGTGTGAGCAGAGCAGAGAGTGTGTAAATCTGCACTTGACAGATCTTACAGAAAAACCCATCCTCAGAACGGCAAGACTGCACCTGGAGTGAAGGCCTGGGCTGCCGTGGGGAGGGACAGGGCCTGGGCTGTCTCAAACGCCAGCAGGTCTGCCACCAAGGGTGCCCTTCCAGGGGGTGCCTGTTCCCCCTCTGGCCCTTGCGGAGCCCCTCACCCCACGCGGCGCTCCCCCCACGCACGCAGACTGCCGGTGGATGGTGGTCATGCTGCCCTGCCCTGCCCTGCCCTGCCCTGGGAGCGCTTCTGCCAAGGATCACAGAGATGTCAGGGGGAAGCCGCTCTGACTTGATCTCAGGCGCAACCTGACACTGGCGTTTTCTTTTCCCAGTCAGCAGAGGAAACATGTGGGATGAATTAAGAAAGCAACCAGGGAAAGCAACGGCCTCTGGACTTTAGTCGGTTCCCAGACAATGGGGTGTAGGATGGACCCACCTTTATCCATGGCGAGGGGCCTGTAGGGCCCAGCTCTCCCCACACCCCAAAGAGTCACCCTGTGGCCAACCCCTAAGCCTCGGGATGTGGCATTCAGTCTGATTCGCGACCAAGGAATTAATCTCCGTATATGTTTAAGAGAGAGAGAGAGTAGTGAACTAGTCCAGGACAGTGAGGACCTCGTGGGAAGTGCAGCCTCAGACCTCAGCTTCGCGTTTGCAGGTCAGGAAACTGGGGCTGAAAGTCGGAGGGAAAAGCAGAGGCTCTGTAGTTCCTACGTACAGTCCGGGCAAAGGGAAGGCTGGGGAGATAGTTCACAGTCAAGGAAAAGAATACCTGCAGCTGTAAATGCCGGCTTACTCTTGGAATCGTTTCTTTTTCCACCTACCATTGCCCACAGTTAAGTCTTTGTCCCAAGTTAAGCAGGAGCTTCTCAGCCATGCGTTCCCCGGGGTTCACAGAACTGCATCCTACTACTCGGTAGTTGCTACTCCTCCTTCCTCCTCCCGCCAGCAGAAGTGACCCAGATCTTCGGCACAAACTTCCCTCTTCCATTGGCTGCCCTGACCGAGGGCCGATTTTCCATTGCCTGATGCGAAAGGCACAGTCTGTGCTGACAGGTGTCTGCCAGGCACTCACACACTCCCGACGCAGAACATGCTCTCCTTTCTAGGTACATGGAGCAAGGGGCTGGTGAAGGAGGATGAGAAACAGGGTGTCCCTGTAACTAACAAGGCACTTGAAATGAACCAGGAGGAGGGGCACTGATAGATCTTTCTCCTAACTGGAGACTGCTGTCTCAGGTCTAGCTGGCAGACAGCCACAGCTGAGGTGTTTTTGCGACATCCTGCTGCTTCCAACCAAGTGAAATGAATTTCTCTCCTCCTTGGAGAGAAATGTTTCTCTAAGACAGCCTAAAGGGAGGAGGGAGGAGGTTAAGAATGGAGGTTAAATACAACCAACACTGAAATGGCATCTTGGATAACCTTTGGAGATTCCGATAACATTATCACCTCTGCTCCCATCAGAGATCCACACCCCTTTTTTGTGTGCTTCTAGCATTTTCCCTGACTCCACCACGTTTCCTCTGAAGGTGATGCTGTCTCCATGGCCTGTCGCTGTAGATGACAGCCACCATCATCCTTTCTCCTCTAGGAGCCTCCAAATCTGGACGCACCTAATCAGGTTGTGAGATCATGCACAGGACAGGAACACACCCAGGGGAGCTGGCCAGCTGGCTGCACCACCACCAGGGTCACCGAGAGCTGACACTGTGAAATGTGGAGCACAAAGTATCAGTCCCATTTTGTAAAGGGTTCCAAGAGGCGGCAGGCAGCCACAGGCTCCAGCGAGTTCTCCCTGATACAATCTTCATGGGAACCCAGCCACTGAGAATGGTAGATTTTTAGTTATACAGGCTTCCTTTCTTTCTTTTCCTTTTTTCTTCTTTTAAATTATGGTAACACATTCCTGATATAAAATTTACATTTTATATATATATATGTCAAATATATATATATAATGTACATTTTTAAGTGTACAGTTCAGTGGCATTAAAGTTCATCTACATTGTTGTACAACCATCAATCACCACCATCCTTCCCCAGAACTTTTTCATCTTCCCAAACCAAAACTCTACCCATTAAACATTAACTCCCCATTCCTCCCTATACTCAGCCCTTGGCAATCACCATTCCACTTTCTGTCACTATGAATGTCACTACTCTAGGTATTAATAACTCAGTAACTCAAACAAGTGGAATTATACAATATTTGCCCTTTTGTGTGTGTGGCTCATTTCACTTAGCATGGTGTCTTCAAGGTTCATCCATGGTGTAACATGTATCAGAATTTCCTTCCTTTTTAAGGCTGTATACTATTCCATCATGTGGATATACCACATTTTGTTTATTCATTCATCAGTCAATGGAAACTTAGTTGTTTCTACATTTTGGCTATTGTGAATAACGCTGCTATGAACAAAGATGTACAAATAGCTCTTTAAGACCCTGCTATCAATTTTAGGGGTATATGGAATGGAAAAAGTGGATCATATGGTAATTCTATGTCAAATTTTTTTAGGAACCACCATAATGTTTTCCACAGCAGCTGCACCATCCCACCAGCATACAAGGGTACCAATTTCTCCACATCTTTGCCAACACTTATTATTTTCTGTTGTTTGAGTGTTCCATAATAGGGCTTTCTTACTTTTGGGTTTCCTTCCAAATGGGCAATTTATCTTTTCCAGTGCAAAGAATTTTCAGGTCACTCTACTTTCACCTGCCATTGGTCGGGGTGGGGGGGGGCAAGAAGGGCAGTCATCTTTCCAATGACCTTTTTGTAAACACTCTCCTTTGTGAAGGTCACAGCCCCTGCAGATCTGAGTTAGGAACTGAAGTGCTTTTCCAAAGTTCAGAAATTTCAGGAAATCTTTTATCTCTTCATGGAAAATCTTGTGGGTGACTGCTCTTTCCATTCTTCTAAGGTAAGTTGCTCCCCTTTAGGAGGAGGGAAATAGGTGCGGGAATAAATAATGTGGGGAAGTAGAAGAAATGCAGGCTGTGGCCTCAGACCTCTGGGAATCTCACTCCACCTGCGCAGTTGCTGTGTGGCCGTTTGGCCCTGGGCAGCCACTGAATTCACCAAGTCTCAGTTTCCCCATGTGAAAGCAACCAGTCATGCTGTGTCATAGGGTTGATGCCATATTTATATTAAAATTTGTTCTTATTTATATATAATAACATACATATAATATATGCTATAAATGCATATACAATATACATCTACAAATGCATGTACATACCCACACACACTTTTTTCTCATAAATGCCTAAACGTGATCAATTCAAATGCACTGTTTTTTTAGAACATAATTTTCTAACTTGCCATCTTCCTTCATCTCTCCCCACCGCCTTACAAACACTACTCCCCTCATAACCCATAACCCATGGAGCCCCTGTGAACTACCTAGTATGTATCTTTTCATAGTTTTCCCCATAAACCCATAAAGACATATTCATATGCATGTGCAAAGTTGTGAAAGCCCTTACAAAACTAGGATGTTATCCCGAATTTTCTGCATCTTGGCTTTCTCACTCAACATTTCCTCATGGAATTCCCCCCAAATCATCTGGCAAACTTGAGGTCAATCTTTGTGATGGCTGAATCTGAGGTTTGATGGTGCTGTAACTGATTCAACCACCCCCTCTTGGTAGGCATTGCACTTTCCTGTTCTCCACACGGCAGCCTGAGCGTGGCTTGTGGGCAGTGACTCTGTCGCTTGGTGCTCTCAGAGGCCCCTTTCGCACTCAGAATAACACCCAAAGGCCTCACAATGACCTATGAAGCCCTAGATGACCTGTGCACCCCAACTGCCCCAAGGTCTCCTCTGTCCCAGGAGCCTCTGCCTCTCCTGCTCTGCTCCAGCCTCACCAGCCTCCTTGCTGCTGCTCCTCCCGCCTGTCGCATACGCGCCCACCTCAGGGACCTTGCACTTGCCAATCTCCTGGAAATAGAACACTCTTCGCAGACATCTGCATGGCTCACACTCCCACCCCTGGACTCTATCTCCCCAACGTCTTCCCCAGCTTCCCAGTCTAAACAAGCAACTCCCTTTCTGCTTCGGCATTCCCTATCGCCCTTCCCACCTTAATTTTTCATCCTGGCACTTATCTTGCATTTATTTGTGTCTTGTGACTCTCCCCATTAAAGTGTAAATGCTACAAGGGTAGGCATCTCACTGTTTTGCTCAATGCTGTATCCTCAGTATCTACAATAGTGCCTGGCACTTAGGAGGGTTTGATAAATATTTATTGAGCAAATTAATGAATGTATGAATGAATGAAGAAACCAGCCTATGTTGGTCAACGTGGCATGTGGGTCACTTTAAGGGCACTTCCTATTCTGTGTCCTGTGTCCTGTGTCCTGGGACACAGACGGGCATGTTATCAGAACCAGAACACAGACAAACATGGCCATATCAAACTAAAGTGTCCCCAAATTTCTAGCAAGAAGGGATTAGACATAACACTAGAATTACACTGTACTTGAGAGGCACAGATTAATCACAGATACACACACACTTAACTACTCACTTAACACTTAACTACTCACTAAACTAGAGAGCTCATTCTGTGGGATATATTGACCATCCTCATCTCAATGTGCCTTGTTTTTGTTAAATCCAGACTCAAACCCATCTGGTCCCATCGGAGGAGGACTGTATCAGGTAGATTATACATGAACAGACGCTGGGACAATACGTCACACTAGCTGAGAGCACTGGCCCTGGAGTCTGACTCCCTGGGATTAAAACCCACTTCCCTCTGTGTGATCCTGGACAGATTACTTAACCTCTCTGAGCCTCAGCTTCATATGTGTTAAGTGACAATGAGAAGAGTATCTACATCAAAAGGTTCTGTTGCAGGAGGCAAATGAGTTAATACATGCTAAACACTTAGAACAGAGGTGGCCCATGGTAAGGCCCATAATTATTATAGAGGTCAAGAACACAAACTCTGGAGACAGCTGCCTGTGATCAAATCCTGGTTCTACTACTTAATAGCCTTGTGATCTTGGGCAAATCGTTCAACCTCTCCGTGACTCACTTTCATCATATGTAAAATGGAAATAGTCCTATTCTCTCCTCCTAAGAATGTTGTGAGAACTAAATGTGTTACTAGCAATACTGACTCCTCAGAGCTACGGAGAGGATTGAATGAAAGTGCCTGGCATATAGCAAGCAATGATGGAGTGTGTTCAGGACATTAACGGAGCAAAGAACACAAGCCTTGCAGAGGCCAAAGACAGGAAGGTGAGGTGTAGAGGGCTGTAGTAAACTGTGTTTTCTGCCTCTCCTATCTGGGAAGGATTATAGTTACCTGCCTCACAAAAGCAGGCTTAGCTAGGTGATTCTCTGGCCAAAAAATGTGACCAGAGTGACATGCATTTCTTCAAGAGTCAGCACATGGTGTCCCATGATCTCTTTTCTCTGCCTTGGCTACCATGAAACATGTTTTGAGATGGAGACTCCATCATTCTGGAGGACTGAACTACTGCAACGATCAGATTCCCTTTGCTGACTTCCAATTAACATGTAACAGGCATGAGAAAATTTGTTATAATCCGCTAAATCTGGAAGTGTTTGTTGCTACAGCATAACTTGGCCTAACCTGGCTGATCTAAGTCTTCCCAGAAGAGATGAGACCTTAGTTGAATCTTAAAGGTTGAGAAAGAGTTAGTCAAGCAAATAAAGTAGGGAGGCTATTGTAGGCAGAGAATAACATGTGCAAAAGGCCCAGAAGAATGAGGCAGCAGGGAACATGCAGGCACCTTGGTATTGCTAGAACCTCATACCTAGGAGAAGAATGCCAAGACATGAGTCTAGTGGATGGGTGAGTGGGTGGGAATCACATCAGAGCACTATCATGCTAAGGTGCTTGAACTTTGTCTTCAGGTCACTGGGGAGATGCTTTAGTCAATC